CCAATCCACTATTAACTCAGTGTTCAAAAAGGATTTTGAAATTAAAGCTTTAAGGGATCCATAGGAAGGTGAGCAGACCCTAATTCCTCAAAAAGAGCCACATGAGCCAAAGGGCATTGCCTGGGCTCATGCTAATCAGCAAACCTGCTCCAAAGATATCAGAAATTATATTTATTTCTAAACAAACTTTCTGAAAACAAAGGAAGATGCAAAGTAGGAATCAAAATGAGACTCCAGGTCCCTACTGCCCCTTCTCCTATGCTCCCTGGGACAGCAAATCTTCCATGCCGCAGCTCCCACAGAACACAAGCCAGGGCAGCGGGAACCAGACACGAGTACCACCACCATCGCACAGCACATTGCCCAGACAAAATGGCTGGGTCAAGCAGAAGCTACTCCACCGAGTGCGAGCAGGGAGAGCATCTAATTTAGGCCACTCGCAAGGGGAACCCAGCTTCGGGAACAGCGCATTACACAGCCCAGAGGGAGCAGCTGGTTTCGTCTTCAACTTGGAAACAAAAGTTTGTTTGCTGCTCTCCCTAGGAAGACGACAAAGGAAAGTTCTCTGCCATGTGCTGACCTCTGTAAAAAGTCTGACAAGAGCACACGTGTCATTAAATCCAAGACACTCTTCTGACACGGAGCCCTCCTGAGACCAGCGGCTGCTCCATTTGCTCCCTCTGGCTTTGCCCCAGGCTGTGCAATTACCACTCTGCCAGCGTAATTACGTACCAGAGCCGGAGATGGAGGGGCGTCGTTGCTTGCCCTGAACAACCTCCGCAGGAAGATGACTACTGGTCCAGGCTAATCACTTCAGGCTGCCTCACCCTTCACCCTCCCAAGGCATCAGCCCAGAACTGGGGAAGTGACAAGAAGCCAAGACACGTACCAGCAGCAGAGCGATAAGGCTGGCAGATAAGGAGGGCAGGGGATTCAGTGCAGGAGTATCACATCCATCTTCTTCAAGTATTAAAAAAAAAATAAAAAATAAAAAAAAAAAAAAAAGGGGAGCAGGCGTGGGGATACAACCCCACAGGACTGAATGGCCCTTCAGGCTCCCGTGGGTTCCCGAAAAAGGGCTGGTACCTCTACGGTGCTGGGTGCCACGGCTCCCTGGGGTGGCAAAAAGAGCTGTTGCGGTTGTAGGCTGTATTTTACCCAGGTGCATCTAGTTACAGCAACTCTTAGCGGGAGTGGGAAGGAACAAGTGGAGAGTCCTCGTACCTATACTGCTTCTAACCCCAAAAGACCAAGTCACCCTCTATACAAACCCCCAGAAGTTCCCATCCAGTACCAAGCATTCTTAGCTTTTTTATTTTGGGGCTCGAAGAGCTTATTTAAAGAATAAAAAAAAAAAAAAAAAAAAAAAAAAAAAAAAAAGGGGAGCAGGCGTGGGGATACAACCCCACAGGACTGAATGGCCCTTCAGGCTCCCGTGGGTTCCCGAAAAAGGGCTGGTACCTCTACGGTGCTGGGTGCCACGGCTCCCTGGGGTGGCAAAAAGAGCTGTTGCGGTTGTAGGCTGTATTTTACCCAGGTGCATCTAGTTACAGCAACTCTTAGCGGGAGTGGGAAGGAACAAGTGGAGAGTCCTCGTACCTATACTGCTTCTAACCCCAAAAGACCAAGTCACCAGGCAAAGAGAAGAAGAACGCGGTCCTGAGACACGCACGAGACTGGCAATGAAGCGTCTTAGGGAATCAGACATAAACAATTTATCAACAAGCTACAGACAAACACTTTTAACCAGTTTGGAAATAAAAAATAACAACAACTTGAAAGACAAATTGAAAAATTCTGCTTGGAAAAGGAGCACACAGCATGAGATCACAGGATTCAGCAGACTATAAAATAGGAAATGAGACTTACTCTTCTTCCCCTACAGCTGCACAAAACCCTCCCACATAGATTACAGACACGCTTGGCAATTGCCTTCCTCCTCCAGCCTCTCCCGTTATGGACAAGGCAGAGTTGGTAGCAGCCTGAACGCAGAGAGGATATTAGATAAAGCATCTTGCAAAGCCAAGTGTGAAATATTAACAACAGGAGGCAATGGGTTGTGTTTTTATGCAAGATCACAAATTTGGTGCTTAGAGAGCCTGAGATGTTCTTGCACACTAGCATCTCAAAGTGCTTGTTGAATGTTTCATTTAAAAAGCTATTGAAGCCTACTGGAAAATTTCTATCAGTCCTGTTATTTGCTGTATCTTCTCTCCTTCGCTGTTTTTGTTCTTTTTCCTTCCTGCAACGCTAAGAAATGATGCGTAAATGAAAAGGTTGTTCCTTCCATTCATCTGCCCAGTTTTAAAACAATTCATACTGGTAAAGCGGGCGCTCTGCAAGCCTGTATTTTCACATGAAATTACCACAATTGTGCACATTGCATCCGAATTACCGGATGCATTTGTACACATAATTACCCAATTTGCACACAGAACTGCAATAACCGGGCAGGCAAAATGGACATGCAGCTGTTCAGCTGAATGGAGCACCTCGCCTGAACGGCATCTGGCACGGGGCAGGTTTGGTGTCGGTAGATGAAACAGGTCACAGATATTCCTGGACACGACAGAGCTCCTTTTTATCCAGCACATGCAGCACAGACAGCAGCGTGGCTGCCTGCCCCTGCCCTACCTCAAACTTGCCTTTGGAGGAAACTGCCTCCAATTCAGCTTCTACAATGGCTTCAGACTTTGTTCATCCCGCTGTCCTAGTCGCCCATTAATGCCAACTGCAACGGTAGCTGTGTGATAAGGACATCTATTCAACACTGGACACCAGGCTCCAGGAATAACGATCACTGCCACTTTGGAGCGTAACTGACACCTGCTGTCACAATCTTGCATGAAAAAAAATCATGCTCCGAATATCCAACAAGCAGTCAAGGAGAAACAGAAGGAGAAGGAGCCTAAGAGAAGATGCACGGCTTCTTCCTTCTTGCAAGGGCCTCGGTAGTGTAGGAGCAGCAAAGGGAGGGGGAGAGAAAACACTCACTCAAGAAGCGGTGTTACCCGTGCATTTTTTACTCAGATGGCAGCTGAGGCTCTGCAAACTGAACTTCATCTCTGGCAATTGCCCATCGACATCTCTGCTCATCTTCTTTTTCCCCCCAGGCTCAGATACCTGAGCTGATGATTAGGGCAACAGCAGCAACAAACTGCTCCCAGGCACTAGGAAACGCCTGAAAGGCAGATGGGACCACAATCCCCACACACACCATCACCCAGAAGTTTGTAGACATTCATCACCGAGTAAGCTAAAATCAAACCCAACATGGCAGGACAGAGGAGTATCCCACTTCAAGGCTACACGATGAGCTAACGTCTGTCCTCAGAGACCACCAGAGACAGAGTCAGGCAAGCCACTGCTGAAGTGCAGTGACACGCAAGAGGGATATTTTCAGCTAATAATCAAGCAGTCCCTCATCTGGAGGTACTGGCTGGCCTTAGAGTGCCACTTTGTCCTTGTTGGGCTGCAAAACAGCCGCAATGCACCTGGCCAGAATTAGCTGGAGATGTTACATTTATGATTTTATAGCAGATTTTTTCCCCCTACCCTCTATCAATTGAGTTCACTGTCTGAACGATCACATCTGTTTATGTTCCACAGACACCTGCGTATCTTGAGATGACAGCAACTCCCTGAATGCTGTAATCAGTTATTTCTCAACAGAGGAATTGCCAATTTGGTAAATAAAGCTCATTATAAAAGAACATGGAAATGTATTACAGTTGCCTAACAGAGAAAATTGTCCAGTGCCGCCAAATAATCAGCCCTGGCATCACAGTCGTCCCCCCCAATTTAGGGCAGCTGAAATAATGACATGCAAATTACGCATGCCAAGGCAACATTGGGTAGGGGGGAGAGGAAAATGAGGGAGCGTCAAAATAGGTACTTTTCTCTTTAGACCAACAACAGTTTAAAATCTAGTCAGGGATAGACCTTGGTGCTCCAAACTTCTGCGTGCAGACTCAGAAGTTTTGCGGCTCTGTAGAACCTGGCTATTCCAAGCAGATCCAAAAGCTGGCACGGCAGCAGCAGCAAAAGCCCAGCCACTACTGCTACAAACAGATCTGAGGACACCAAGTGTCCTACTTTGGTTTGGAAAACTTGCCCTTCCTCCCTTGGGGACAGCAAGTTTGACCTGCACAGTGATAAAAAGCTGGAATTTTTACAAGATCTGAGACTAACAGAGATGAGCCAGGGGTAAGCAAACATCGCTTCTGAGAAGGAAGAGGGTTGTGGCATCAGCTCTCCACATGAAGGAAAGGCATTTTGTTGCTTTAACGAAGACGTAAAGCACTAAGTTGCTGCCTAAAGGAAAAAGAGACGAAGCAGAATATCACAGAAAACAATTCTCAGCCCCCCTCATCCATTTTCATAAACACTACATTAAACTCTGACATGACCTCCAAAAATCCATGTTCACATTCTTCAGAAACTGTCAGATACAGTCAGAGAGGACAAGAGCAGCAAATTCTGCCAGAGGAGAAGCTTTAGCCAGGGAAGGAGAATCAAGTTCCCAAGCTAGACCTGCTCCCCTGGGCTGCTGACAGCTCTTTTGCAAATCCGCCGCACCTACCTCTACGAGGATGAGATGCCAGACACATGCAGCTCCCGCTGTCCCTCGGCTCCGCAAGGAGAGGGCTCAAAACAGAGCTGAAGGCTGAAAGGGATGGTGGTTTATGGCAGACAAAGCAGGAACCGCACACGAGAGCTGGTGCAAAGAAAGATAACTTGGGCTCTGCATTCAGCAGGCAAAGGTTTTTCAGTATGGTTCACCAACACCCATTCCCTTCACCCAGGACTCTTCCAAGTACTTTCAAATAAGCCAAAGTCATTCAGCCCAGGACCAAAACGAACAAGTTTTGTGATTTATAAACTGTGACTTGAAATATTTCTATTCCTCACACTTGTTTGGAGTTTTTGTTGGCACAGGTAGTAGGCAGAAAACAGCAATTTACAAACTCATGGGACTGAAAGTATCTCACAGCACAGAGTGACCATTAAACACTTTATTGTTTAGGAGGGAACCTTGGAAGGGAAGAAAGGCGCCTGCTGGTGTAACCGATGGGAGCATGCTAGGAACAGTTAATCCTAACAAGCTAGTCAGGGTTACCTCCAAATACTTCGGACCCCTTTCTCCAGAGCAAACAGACAAAGATAACAGCTCTTGAAACTCAGATGTGGGGCGGTGAAACCAAAGCTAGCACAGGGTGAACCAGGCTCGTGTTGGCCAAGCTTCCAAGCTACAAGCTGTGCTGAAAGCACCTGGGGTCAATATGATTCTTTACATTGTAATACAATAAAAAAGGAAATGACAAGGTCCCCCTCTCCCAGGACCCTCCTCCCAACTCCAGGAACATCCACCGAGACTGATACATGCAGGCAATTAGAAGAGGAATCACGTTGTTGTCTTGGACCGCGAAGGGCAGAAGGCACCGGTTTTGGTCAGTGTCTATCCAGAAGGATGCTGGGGCTTCCAAGGGCGTCTGTGGTCCTTGTCTTCTGCTCTTTGGTGGCTGACGTTTATCCAGAATTAACTAATAGCTCCTGGAGGAAAAAGGAGACAAAGGAAAAGGCAGCAAGTTAGTTATGCAGCTGTTGACATGGGGCTGTTTCCTTCAGAAATGAAGGAGTAATGTTGGTAAGGTGAAAATCCCATGGAAAAATCGTCAGGTTTTGCCTGCTGTAAAACACAAGACACTCAAGGGGACAGAGGACTGTAGAAGCAAGGCAGCAGGTCATGATATCAAAGGCGAGACCAATTCTGTGAACAACAATATATAGTCAGTCACAAATGATTAGGGTTTATATATCCTGTGGCCTACAGCAGGAGCTAAAGGCCATGGTCTCAGGCAAGCCTCCAAGCAGCTGGGTCGCAGGAGTAAGTGTAGCTCCACACCAAGCCCCAGCAGGACACGGGAGCACCTGGATTAGCTGCCATCAAACATGCACACACCACTCACTCATCTCGGAACAGGATCAACCTAAGAGCAGGCACTAGAGAGGGGAGAGGAAGAAAGAGAGGGACCCCGAGACTGCCCTAACTCCTGACATGTTTGACAGCCTTTATCCTATTAAGACCCAAACCCTCCTACAATTCAAAGCAAAATCATGCTGCTTTGTCCCCACAGCAACCTCCTGTGACACATCCTCAGATCCTGCAGGTATCTGTGTACCAGCTGTGGACTTCCTAGGGATAGAAAAAACAGGCGGCTTTCGACCTTTTTAGGATGGCGATTGCAGAGCCTGCTATGGTTTCTTCCTATTTTTATTTTGTCACTCCTATAAAGTCAAAGAAATCAAACCAACAATGCCATCAGCAGTGGATGAGAACACACCAGCTGTAACACCCCTGCCTCTGCGGATCGGGGGTGTTGGTGTTGGACCCTGCTTCAAAACCTGAGTAATCAGCTCTCACGCATCGGCAATGGCATCTCCCTATCACTGAACTGCTGGTGTAGCTCCACGAACTGCAGAATCGCACAGGGCGAGCCCATCAACAGGCTACTTTTTCCTCATGCTCTGGATAGGCGCAGTTCCATTTTGCAGAGCAGACAGTACTTACCCATGTTTAGAGGGCCCTGCTAAAGCCAACTACAGAAAGACAACTGAATAGTTAGCTGCACGTGGTCTCTCCACCCATTTTTACTAGGGCTGGATGTGAGCTCGGTTCTACTCTCTAGACACTAGCCTTTCTTCAGAGAGAAGCTGTGCTTCCTTGAATGTGAATCAGAAAGGAGAACATCAAGCTAACGACGCTAGCACACTCGGCAATATCTGTCAGAAGGTGAGGATGTCATTTGGGCTACTTCTGCACAGCAGGCTGATATCCGCTGCCTAACACCTGCAAGGTCAGCATATTCAGTCTACATTGACCATGCATCTCCAAAGACAGCCCCATCTCTAACAACAATGAACTGGAAAAGCTTCAAAGAACTCAAGAATAAAGAGAAAATTGTTTGCCAAATTATTTAGACAAAGCTTATCCGGAAATCTGACAAACGAACCATCAATATTACCCGACTGACTCTAATTTCGCAGGTAATTTTTCTCATCATTAGTGACTTAAAAGTTTTGCACAGAGCAATATGTTTTAAAAACTCCAATAGCACTCACACAAATTGCAATGAGCGAAGCAGCAACAACTCGCAATCAATTTTGTAATAAAGTAATTTGCTGCATTCACACTGTAACACTTCAGTGAAGCATCGAGGAACGCTAGGTTTTGTGAAAAAGCCACTGATGTGGCCACTCTGTGGTTAACCCTTACAGAAGATAATAAAACCTTTTTCTTTGAAGTAATTTTAAAGAATGTTACAAGTACACATTTTCATGTTCAAAATCATAACTACATATTTTTACTCGTTTCAGGAGAAAATGCAAACAGACAGCACTTAACCAATCAATTCTTTCCAGCCTAACCTACCCACGTACCGGGGACGCGTCGAGCTGGAGGCTCACAAGCATTCCTCGTGCAAAAACATCAGGTTCCATCTCACTCCGGGTGACTCAACTTTCTCAAAATCTTTTTGCACAGTGAGCACCGGACCCAGAACCGATGGGCTGCCAGCAGGCCAGGCACCTAACGCCCTGCTGCTGCGCAGCTCTCGCCAAAGGAAGCTCCTGTGAGCAAAGGCTGCAGGTAACGACGCAGTCGATCAGCCCACGCTGCTCCCAGTAGTGGCCTGATACAATTACATATATGACCAGCCTGTGCTGGATGGAGCGACTAATTAATGTCCCCTCCCTCATCAGGGGCATGGAGTGCACGTGAAGGTTATAGGGTTGGCACTTTTGGGGAACTGAAGCACTCCCAATACACAACAGCCTGCACAGAGGGTCTGAGATGCCAATCCAGACCTCGCAGCATTTGCCGTGCCAGCGCAGACCATGACCTTCCTGAACCCTCTAATATTGCTAAGGTTCAATTTACAAAGAAAGCGCAGCCTCTGGCTGGCTGTGAACCCGTGCTCCTCCGGATCTTCTGCAGAACGTGCCGTGCGGCGTGGGCCCGATTAGCAGCGAACAACGCTGGAGGCCAGCGGTCTCCTCTGCCAGCTACTGCAGGGCATCACACGGCCGTTGCATGCTGCACAGCGGAAGCTCTGCAGGCCTCGTGGTCTGTTAGCCCGTCATATAAGTCTATGCTTGTTAGAATACGCCTATAAATGTTTTCACTGTTCCTAGGCCATCAGTTTATAAACCTGTGGCTAACTACTAAAAAGCACAGTTGCATCAATTTCATGCCTCACATGCTGTGTAATAGCATGGAAGGACGCCATATCTCTAAGACTAAACCCCCTCTTTGCTAAGCTAACCATTTACAGCAGTGTTTTAATTCCACCTGGCATTGCAGCCATGCCCATTCAGATTGGGCACCTCTTCATTTCCTTCCAACCTGGAATCCTCCCTGCAAGATGCTACCAGGTTGCTACAACACTTACCTTGAGCAGAAGGAGCCAGGAAAGGGAAGGAGAAGCTTTACCTCTCCTACATGCCCTTATCATTGCATATGCACCAGACAAGCTGCATATGCAACAAGTCCAGGCAGCTTGCAATCACATGCTGTTCCCACACAACAGGATACTTGCAGTTAATCGAGTTTAGGCTCAGCCTGAAGAACTTCGATGCCTCATCACAAAATAACTGCCCCACAGTTGGCATTAGCTGGTCTCTGCTGCAGTCTTAGCAGAATAACGAGTCAGGAAACAAGCAGCCTTGGAGCGCACGCCACACTCACTCTAATGAGGAGGGCCGGCGCCCTTCTTGCACAGGAAGGGTAGATTATTTTAATGCCACTGCCAATGCAATGTCAGGTAGACACCAGGTTGCAGTCTCAATGAGCTCTAGCCCAGCGCCTCTACATATGAATACTGTGTCCACACAAAGGGGTCCATACAAAGGCAATTCCTCACAGCTGCAGCTGCAGCACGGACA